CCCCCCGTGCCACGAAATCTGCACTTCATCTCCGACACCCGCGCCTGCCACGAAATCAATATTTTAAGGTGAACTCCCCGGCGCAAAAATTTATCACCAAGCAAACATGCCTCTTGTGCTAGTTCTCTTTCTCTTTGCTGTTTCTCTGGTGTATCTATCTATCTATCTACTTACCTATCTCTCTATCTTTCTTTCTTTCTTTCTTTCGTTCATTCTTTCTTTATTTATTTATCTATCGATCCATTTATCTGTCTATCTTTCTATCTGTCTATCTATCTAGCTATCTAGCACCTGCCACGAAATCTACACTTCAATGTCCACAAGGTACTGTGCCTGCCACGAAATCTGCACTCCAAGGCCAAAGTCCTGCACCTGCCACGAAATCTGCACTTCAACGTCCACAAAGTACTGCGCCTGCCACGAAATCTGCACTTCAAGGTCCACAAAGTACTGCGCCGGCCACGAAACACGAAAAACAAAAAAATCAAAAACAACGAAAAAACCCAAAAACAAATCCGCAGCCTTGTTAAAATAACAGGAGAACATAGAATGAGTGAGTTGAGTTTTGTTCTGTTAGGTTTTGAGTTCTCGAATCAAACGATCATGCTTGACGGAAACAGATTCATCAGGACCGAGGCACTACTAGGTTGGACCCTGAATTGGCCCAAATCTCCAGAACTGAACTCTCCTTGGAGGCATTGAAACTGGCCTCTCTCATTGACACCCAGTTGCTCTGCCAGGCGCAGGTTTTCAATGCGATCTGCTAAGTATTGCGTTTTGTTTTGCTTTCCTGAACCTTGGTTTGGAGGTGGTGACTGGACCTTTCCGGCGGCGCCTATTGGCTTTGTCTAGAAGCGCGATGGAGGCCTTGGAAGTGTTGCGCTTTTTGGAACTCCCAGATACAATTTAGATGTGGTTATTGCCCAAACTTCGAGGCTACGCAACTGCCAGCCGCAGCAGGAGTCTTTCTGGTGGTGTGAAGGCCATGAGCTGTGGTGAAGTTTTTCCATCGCGGCAAGTTCTTCCGAGCTCTCTCTTCAGGCCTGGGAGGATGCTTCCAATGCCTGCCGTGAGCGCATAGCTTTGTGCATCCAGCAGGCAGATGAAAGCAATGGCGTGAAAGACATCAACGCTTGCAATACCGAGAATGGATCACGTTTGCCTAAGCTAAGTGGTTTCCTATTTTATACGTATGCTACATGAATACCAAGGCAATGTCGCACAGAACGATTCAATATACAGGGTCATCCAGCATTTTCTTTGAATGTTGGCTTGATTCCACTTCAAATGCTTCCCAGGCAGTTGCAAGCAAAGCTGGTGAAACTCGAGGCCTACTGTCTGAGAGGTGTACCAAACTCAAGCAAACACTTCTATAATAGTGAAGAAAGTCGAGAATGCTTCCGCGGTAGCCGTCCAATGCAAACGGAGCAGGTGCAGAACCTTCATAGCCTCAGCCTCAGTGAGCCAATGTTTTGTGCAGAGGACTCCTGATATGCACAGACAGTTTCAAGTGACACATTTGGTGGGTTCGATTGGCTGAACATTCTTGTGCTTGGGCCTGTCAGGCTGGAGGCAGATCTTTCTGAATTTGTAGTTCTTGCACAGCACAGGGATTCCCGCGTGCGAAACATTGTGAAACCGAGAAACTGTGTATTTACAGACTTGACTGCGTACTTGCCTTCGTAGAGTCTTGATGCTTCCTGCAAGCTGGTATCCCTACAAGGTCTCACTCTTTTGTTTCACTGCGCTCGAGCGCTGTAATAGACTTCTGCGGTTCAGCAGGAGTGTGTGGCTTTGCTATCCTGGTGGAGATTCCAACAAAGCCAAGGGAGTAGGCAATGTCAATATGAGGCGTTGGATGCGGGTTGTGGAAAATCGTTCAGTGGCTCCTTTCTGGCACAGTACTGCAATGAGCTACAGATGCTTGTGCCTACCATGACCTATTTGTGTGTGTGTGCGTGCGCGCGGCAAATTAGCGGATGCAGATCACCGCAACCCTGGTCATTTGTTTTCTTTAATCAGGTTTTTACCTGGCAATGCCAATCTTGACTGCAGCCTTTGCAGCTATAGCATCCAGGTTTCTGTAGCGGTGGCAGCTCGGCATTTGCAAGATGTGGATTCTGCAGCTTGCCATCCTGGCCTTGGGGGATGATGTGGTTCCAGACGCTTGTGATGAAATTGAATTCTTGCAAACACCGCCTCTGCCTTTGCCGCCATTGAAGTTGGAGCCTCAGGCGTCGGATGAGCCGAGCTTGTGGAGCTTGAGCAACCCCAACCCCAGCATCTTCGAGTGGCGCCATACTGGCTACTGGAGTGTGGATCGCGTTGCGGCGCGCCATATCGAGGTCAGAAAAAGCGCCGTCACCAAGCTATGCAGTGAAGAGGAGAAAAAACAGAAGATTGACGAATTCTCTGATCTGACAGAGAGCGACTTCCGGACTATCAAGATCGGCTACTTGAAGGTTCCCCTTGGCTACGACAAGACAAAGCCAGCCTCGAACATCACACTTCAGCTTCGCGTGTCTGCGATGATTGGTGCTGCTGGCCCTGATGCTCCACTGCTTCTCCAACACAATGGTGGGCCCGTGACGGACGATTATGGCCCCCTTAGATCTGGATGGTTTGGCCTCGAAAAAAATCCTCTTTATGAAGGTATCGATCAGAAGTACACGCTGCTTGGAATTCAGCAGCTGGCAGCAGGGCATGTCGGACAGTAGCCCGGGCAATCAGTGGCCTGTGAAAGTCTTGACGAAGCAGTTCAAGGCGGTATGCGATGGCAAGCATCAATTCACTGAAGGAGCCACGTCAGAGCGGGCGGAAGTATATACAAGTGTACAGCCCGGGGCTGTAGCCAACAAACAGAACTTCCTGAGTCAAAGCGAGCGGCCTTTTTTCCCCGCGCTTGCCTAGGCTAACATGGAACTTGCGAAGCTACCCGTGCTATCCAACACTTCCATGTTAAGCCTCCCTGCAATGCCGTGTCATGTGGCTTGATTCCACTTACTGTATGTTCTATGTTAGGTTTTTCTCTGCAAAAATCGGCGTGTTCAAGCTTCCCCAGGTACTGAGACGACGGAGGTACACACGTTGCTGTATTACTTTTTTGGCTTTTGGTGCTGTGTTAAATCTCAGTATATATGAGTAATTATGAGTATATGTATGCCGTAGTCTAGTACAGGAACTATATAGACGAGCCCAATTGGTTCCCAGCTTTCTTCGATGCTCGTAGGACTTCACAAGCTGCGAGTGCGACTTGCCAGAGTATGGCCAACAGGTGCCAAGCCCATTTCCTGATCCCGACAATGAGTCGGAGACGGACCCATGGTTTCGATTTGCAGCTTCCCGAAACCGCAATTGCTACGACTCCGACTTTTGGAAGGTGACTGATCCAGAGAGCAAATCCACGTACAACTTCCTGGACTACGTTGGGACGGGGCACATGGCGCATGACTTAGATAGACTTCGGCAGGCCTTCGGGGCAGAGAAGCCTAGCATCAATGGAATCAGTTACGGCGCAGCAGTGGGATCTTCCTATGCGGCAGTATTCCCCAAGAACACTGACAAGCTTCTCTTGAATGGCAATGTCTACCCAGGACCAAATGTGGAAGACTATTGTGCTTCGGCAGCTGTCGCATCCCGCCATGTCATGGTGAAGCTTGTCAAGATTTGCCGCAATGAATTGGCGGAGACATGTCATCAAAATGCAAACAGCCAGGCATTGACCCTGTGGATTTCTTTTTGGAGGTTGTGGCCAAGGTCAGAAAAAATCCAGATGCTTACTCAGCCCCAACAGATGTGGGCACAAGATTTGTGTTGACTCCCAGCATGCTTTACAACTTCTTGAATCTTCCTTTGTCTAATGGGACGATGCCAGCATGGGCAAAGGTTTTGCAAATCATGAACGCCCTTGGCGATCCCAACGACCTAGCCCGCCAGAAAGCAATTCTCGATGTTTTCAAGTACAACTGCAAAGACCAATGGGAGAAGCATGGTTATTGTGCAGAGGACATGATGTATTCAACCAACACTGACTTAGACGGTGGTGTCACTGAAAATGCAGTCCGAGCAATGGACTACGCTGGCTGTTACACCCCAACGGATGCCACGCTCTTTTTCCGTGAGTTGAAGCCAAAATTCCATGGGGTGGAGTTGTACTTTGCCAACATCAAGGCTGGTTTTTGGTTTGCTGACTTGGCCAGGTGAACCCGCACCGGTCATGTTCGGCTCTCGCGGGGGTGTGCAAGCATTTATCGTGAACTCTTTGTATGACCGCGCCACGCCTCACTACTGCGCCCAGCTCATGCGAGCTGCCTTTCCAGATGGCGTCCTATAATATATACAGGGCATTGGCCATGGGATAAACCCAGCATTTTGGGACAGGTATTTTACCACCCGATGGCTTTACCTGCCACCAAACCATGAGGGCCACATGTAGAGGGCTGGCTGGATGCTGAGCACACTGTCCCGGGTTCAGATTGATTATGATCAATCAAGACCCTGAAGTTTTGAATCATGCCTGGACACCTGAGGGTGGCACCAGACCGAAGCCGCACGAGAGCATTTGCATTCTTATCCAAGTTCTAAAGTCAATCTCTTTATCTCTTTGCACTTTCTAATGCCCGCCTTGTCACATTTGCCAAAAGTGCAATGTGAATGTTGAAGCTTGCGATGGCGGAGATTTCAACAAAGGTGAGCCAATCGGCAATTTCAATATCAGAACAATATGTCAGAATATGATGCGTATTGATGCGCTGGATGCGGCTTCTGCAAGGTTGTGCAGTCTTCTTTCCGGTACAGAGTTGCAATGAGATACAGGCCCACATGTTTACGTAGGTGTGTGCGCGCAGCAAATCAGGAAAGTGTTGCTGTTTTGGATTCTCGTGCCCCCAAAAGAAGCACTGGCAGACATAGCCTACTATATGTAGATTGATAAACAAAAATATATTCTATATAGTACAATCATTGCATCTACACAAAACTAACACCAGCTGAATAAATTACCAAGAACGGGGCGTGTGAACTCCCGAATTGAGCAACAAACATTGAAAAAAACCATGGACCGCGACAGTTTTCTGGACTTAGATGTTGTATCGGATCATGTGTTGCCTGACGCAATCAAGTGGACAAACTAGTTCCAACAGCGGTCACAATGGCCCCTCTTTTGCAGAGCAGAAGTGCTTGGCAATGTCGCGCTTGCCCCAGAGCATTGCAAGCGCCGCGGGCTGCGCTGCGAAGAAGTGCACCTCTTGGTCCTGACCTGCCGCAGAGGATTTGGAGTGTTGGGTGGCCGGTGGTTCCGGCAACATTGGCAGGCGCACATATCCGCTTTTGGTACCTGTAAATTTCGAGACGAAGGCTTTAAGGTTCTGCTGAATTTGTGGTCGCTGGAAAGGCCTTTGTGGAGCACGTGCTCGGAAACTTGCCAAATCCTGTCCTTCGCTTCCTTCCCCAACCAGGCCCAAAACTGGTACGGAAAGATACAGGAACTGTTTCAGGAGAGAGAGAGAGAGAGAGAAAGATATAGAAAGTGGTATGTATAGAGCCTCATGCCTTGTGCTTTGCCTTGCTTTAGAACGACTTACTTCGTGCTTTGCAGTAACAGACAATGGAACCAACTTGATCAATGGAAGGACAGTGAACCCTGGCACTGGGGAATGGGTCATTCCAGAGGACTGTTGTATATGCTGTAGATCTCCCTGAGACTGCACGCTGCTAAGACCATCTAGTTCAGTCTGTTGAATCACATGGACTTCTTTGAAGGACTTCCCAAAGCCCAAAGGCATTGAGCAAACGGCAAACTATGCTGAAGCCAAAGCGCTTTCAGACAAGCTCAAAGCTTTGGACGGCCAGGCATGGCTGACACTCTTTTCAGACAGAAAGCGGTGACGGTGACACTCAGAAGTGCAAGCGCACCATAGACACTAATCATCGACCAGGCCAAAGCAAAGACCATCGTGGTGATTGGTGGTGGTCTGTCTGGTTTAGCATGTGGGAAATACCTCTCTGATTCTGGACACAAAGCTGTTGGAAACCTAATTTCTCCGCTACAGCTGTCAGCCACACGAGAATTTCACAAGATTGACATTTTGACTGTAGGTCGTTTTGGAAGCACGGGACGTCCTGGGTGGCAAGGCAGCGAACATGTGTGTTCTACCTTGCAGTTGTATATCGCTGCCACCCTTTTCATTGTTTGCTTCACTTGGAAGGTCTCTGCATGGCAAGATGAAGATGGTGATTGGATAGAGACCGGCCTTCACATTTTCTTTGGTGCTTATCCCAACATGATGAATCTCTTTGCCGAGCTTGGAATTGAGGATGTGGTGGCATTGTGTGGTATGGTTAACTGTGTTGAAACGGATGATTGTTTGACCCTGTGAGATTCCAACTTTGCTATGCGCATAATTTTGCCCTTCGAGGATCGTCTTCAGTGGAAGCGGCATCAGATGACATTCGCCATGCAAGAGTTTCCTGGAGAATTCACCACTTTTGAATTCCCGGGTTGGCCAGCCCCGCTGAACATGGCCGCAGCCATTCTGTTGAATCAGAAGATGCTCTCCCCGTTAGAGAGCCTCGGAAGATCACGTGGGTTTTTGGGGGTGAGGAGCTGAACTAGTGGATTAGAGCTACAAGAATCTACAATGATGAGACTTTCATCGGTATTGAGTCATTGAGCTTTTGTAAGTTTTGAGACTGCTGTTGGGGTTCAGTGACTGTGGGCGAATGAGCGACGCTGCAGCACAGCCCAGGAAACTGCAGACGGGTCCACCTTTGCTGCCCATGCTCGTTGAAGGACAACGCTTTATAGATGCGCAAGACGAGTGTTCAGTCACGGACTTTTGTAAAAAGTACGGGATGCCAGACCGAATTATCAAGGAAGTCTTCATACCCATGGCTAAAGCATTAGACTTCATTGATCCAGACAAGCTGTCCATGACCGTGGTGCTTACTGCCATGAACCGCTTCATCAACGAGACAGACGGGAGTCAAACAGCTTTCCTGGATGGGAATCAGCCAGACAGGCTTTGCAAGCCTATCGTGGAACATATCCACCAGAGAGGTGGAAAGGTTCGACTTGGAGCGGTCATAGAAGAGATTGTTTTGAATGAGGATGCCTCCGTGAAGCATCTCCGTTTGCGTGGAGGTGAGGTTTTGGAGGCTGATGAATACGTGTCAGCTCTGCCAGTGGATGTTTTCAAAAGGCTTCTGCCGGCTCAATGGTCCAGCATGCCATTCTTTCGCCAGCTCGACAATCTGGAGGGTATTCCTGTAATCAATATCCACCTTTGGTTTGATCGGAAACTCAAGAACATCGATGCCCTATGCTTCAGTCGCAGTCCTCTCCTCTCTGTTTATGCTGATATGAGCACTTGTTGCAAGGAGTACTATGATGAGGAGCGTTCAATGCTGGAGCTTGTCTTTGCACCCTGTGCTGCTATTGCTGGCAGCAGTGTGAATTGGATTGCAAAGAGCGACGACGAAATTGTTGAGGCTCGCGGCTTGTGGGCTCATCACATGTCTGAATTTGCGCGGAGTCCTTCTTTTCTCAAATGCGTCGAAGAATTCAGGTTGATCTTTTGCCCCTCTCTCTCTCTCTCTCGGAGTCAGGCCACCATGAAAGAACTGGAGCGGCTCTTCCCCACCGAGATTGGTGAGAAGTTAGCTGACGGTGCACGTCTGCGGAAATCTCGAGTGGTGAAGGCACGACAAGCGAATGACTTGCTTCGTTCCACTCATTCAATCTGAATGGACCGCAACTAAAGGTGCCTCGAAGCGTCTATGCAGCAGTGCCTGGGCGCAACAAATTCCGTCCTTCCCAGGCGAGGTACGAGTCTTTTGTGAGGATGTGCTGCATTGATTGTGAAACCAGCAAACCTACTGCAGAACTGCAGAACATGACAAGCTACAAGCTTGCTTGGTGGTGCCAGGCTACACCCATCAGGAACTTTACCTTGGCAGGGGACTGGACGAGTCAGAAATTCCTGGGTAGCATGGAAGGTGCCGTTCTTGCAGGCAAATTGGCGGCGCAGGTGGTCTCAGAAAGGGCCCTATCCATCCCCAGTCAGGCGAGGGAGGGAGTGACAGTCGATGGTGTGTGCATGTGCGTGTGCTGTTTCTTGCAGAGGTATATCATTGTATATATATATATATACAACCAAAAATTGAATAACATATATATATATCTCTCTCTATATATATGTATAAATATTTATCTAGTCCATTGCAGCTCTCATGCATGTTTTGCGCCAAAGCCATTTATACTTTAGCTTTGCAAGGTGAAACGAGTGGCTGACTTCATCATAGAGCAGCCAAGCAAAGCACCTGAAGGCCTGGCAACTGAACAACAAATGCAGGGCAGTGACGCTGATGCAGTGCTTTGGCTTTGACACGAGTTGCCTCGGGATGTCTACTTATTTGTACTAATCACATGCCCACGGAGCATTTGCTGTGCGAGCAAGTACCTATGTGCGCGTGCGTTTGTGGGCGTGTGTGCGTGAGGGTCACGTGATTGACGAAGCAAGGCCACCCCCTGTCCAACAACGAACCCCGGCTATGTAACTCTAAATAGCCAATGCTTTATAGCGCTATGGGCTTCTTACTTCACTCTTCCAGCGCCAGAAATGCCACTTAAGGTCACTTCTGTCGAACATCTCAAACACCAGCCAAAAGAAACACTCAAGAGATTCGATTGGTATTCGCCGCTTTAAGTCCAGATTGCATACTCTAATTCCAAATCACCATCAGCCATGGCAAACAAGCAGAAAACCATGGGATTGAGATGTAAACTCACAAGTTCAAACTCAATGCCGTTCGTGCCTGCCATAAGCACTTTTGCGCCTTTCGTGTGCCCTCCGTTTGTTTTGACACAGCTTTGCTTGTAGCGCGTTAGTTGTACGCAGTGTCGCTTTCGCGCGTGTACAGGGACTTAAGAACTCTGATGAAGCAGTAGTATTTTCATGATACATGTATCTACTGGGTATCTTAGCGGTGAATATATCGACCAACGCAATTTTGTGCACAGGGCACAGGTCTCACTTTGTACATGACTGACGCCTTTGGCCCAAAGTCAAGGAAAACTGACTGCTTGCTTCGCATGTCCATTCGCATCATCCCTTCGAGATGTCTCTCTCTCTCTCTCTCTTTCTCTCTCTCTCTCTCTCTCTCCCTCTCTCTCTGAGACTGTGTTCTTTCCAAGGGAGCTCCCCCCCGCCCCACCACCTCCTTGACAATTTGATAGCGTATTGATGTGAGGCACCCCTCCTTCAACAGTTCCTTCAACCCCTTAGGAAATTTGCAGGTTGTGTGGACCAGCTCATGTCAACCCAGCGCCCCAGCGCCAGACTCACTTCAGCTCATTTGGTCTTTGTGCACCTCCCCCCCTTTTTTTCCAGCAGGATACTTGTTGTAAGTTTGTTGGTTGCACATTCCGGGGAGAATTGCAATGATGGACTTTCCACCGAGACGATTATCGAAGACATGAGATCTATATTGTTCTAGGGTGCCACCTTCCAGGCAACACATATGGGTCAAAGAACCCGCCACTCCTACTGATTATTGTTGATTTGTTTGTTGATTTATGCGCATGTGTTTTGCGGGTGTTGTGCAGCAGGTATCCATGGTTCCTCAGCTTTGGCCTTTGGTGGAGGAACTCAGATGAAAGCTCAGGACTTTGAGGAGCTTCGACGACAGGACTGCCAGGGAAGCCAAATGAGAGACGCAGAATGACGCAGATGCATGGGCATTCCGAAAGCAAGGGGCTGGTCAATAGACACTAGCTTTCAACGTGCTCGGTGCGAGTGCAAAACCACAACTTGCTGCGAGGACCCTGCAGCGCTGTATGACGGTGCGACGGACTCCTGAAAGAGGTGTGTCCTTGGAGTTCTCGAAGCTGGCAGGCTTGCAGTCCTTAAGAGCCAGCTCTTTCGCGTGAATCGAATGTGCATCGTTCTCTTTTAAATGGTGTCTTCTCAAGTTTTTCCTCTCCCCGCTCCCAGCGCCCTTGCACCGTCCTCTCACACCAACACCGCCTCATTTCAGAATGTTGCCGATTCTTCACCCACCAACTCATCTCGCACGGTGGCAGGTGTAGTGGTTTGCGCATGTTTGCGCACGTCCGTACTTTCTTCTTTTTCACTGGAAGACTGGAAGACACATGTATAGAATTGAAAGGTGAGGATGTTCCATGGAAGGATGACACATGTTAAGAAATGATGACACGTCTTTTGAAGCCTGTGATGCCACTCTTCTGGGTCAGGTCGAGCGCAGGGAATGTGCTTTCCTCACTAAGGAGCTTTCCTATTATTTTGCTTAACTTCCCTCTCTCTCTCTCTCTCCCTCTTCATCACCTCTACTCTCTCCTTTCCCCTTTTCCGCTTCGGAAAGGATGTGCCTTGTTCCCTCCACGACTCCTTTACGTCCTTCATCTGGATTTTTGACATCACTACTGTATTTTCCACCCTTTTTCTTTTCCTTACGCTTTGTTATGTCTTATTTCTTTGTGCTCGAGTCCTCAGTCCACCAGGAAAGAACATGAGACAAGACAAGAAAAAAGAACCCCAGATGTGGAGACAAGAAAACCTTGGAGTAGGCAGCAGGGTAGGCTAGTGACGGCTGAAAAGGAGGGAGGTGCGGTTTGGCAGAGAGGTAGGTAGTCCGATAGCGAGGTAGTGGGTATGGAGGAGCAAAGCGGTAGAGGAGGGGTAAGAGAGCATGGAGGATGAAGGATACCGGTTGTTTGCGACCAGAAAGAGCGCGAGCTGTGGCTCAGGAAAGTTGTGGGCATTCATCTGAAACATTGCTGTTGATGGAACGGCGCAAGATACACAGTGTTGGACTACTCCTGCATCCTGAACATCAATGGTAACATCTACAGGAGCAAAAGCTCAGAAGTGGTCGGTGAATAAATCATGTCATGTAGAAAAGTGAGTGGATCGCATATGTGCCGAAGCCTTTTGGAATGTACCGGGAGGTCACTTTAGGGAGAAGAGAGTACCAAAGTGCATGAAACACAGTTCAGGGGAAGCCTGCGCATCAAATGCAAAGCAAACAAAGGTGGAGGATCATAGTATATAGTTAGCTTGGGGGGTTTGCAGATACCTTCTGCAACAACCATCATACTAGAAGAGAGTCCTTCAGTATTGTTCAGTGCAATGTCCCCTTTGCGCTGCAACAGCCTTTGCTGCGGGAGGACTGCTGAACTTTTGCACCTTTCTTTTTAGGGTGATGGCCAAAGTCTGTGCGCTTTGACATACTTGTACCGATGTATATGAGTAATCCTTCGGCAGAGCCGGTGGGCGGAATTTGGAGCTGAATCGTTGGGTGAGAAAAGGGTCACATGATGATGTGTGATGTCGTGGTGTGACGGAGTGAAGCAAAGAGAAGCAAGCCCACAGATGCCTTGAGTAAAGAGAAGCTATCCGATCAACTGTAACATCCATGATGGAGTGTCAAGTGTAAAGCTCTATTATGTTGGCAACTTTTCTCTAGAAATCTCTGTTTTTGATTGCTTTTGCTTGGAAAGCTCTACTCTTAGCTACTTTTCGCTTTAAAGCTATTCTTTTGGCAACGCTTCTCTGGAAGTCTTTACTCTTGCAAACCTTTTCTCTAGAATCTTTACTTTGGCAACTTTTTTGTAGCAATCGCTAATCCTTGCTCCTTTTCGCTTTAAGTGCTCTACTTTTTGGCAACTTTCGGCTATATAGAACCCCGTACTTGGCTTACATGTCTGTCTCTCACGTTCTAGAACCGTTTTGTAGAAATCACAATTTTTGGTTACTTGTGCCGGGAAAGCTCTACTTTTGGTTATATTTAAAAAATATTTAAAGGCTTACGCCCGACAGCCGGGCGCCGGCCCAACACAGGGAGAAAGTAAGACGGTAGAGGGGACAGAGGCAAGAGACATGAGGCGACGGGGCCGGGACTTCGGGCATCCTGGCAGCATCCTTCACTGTGGAAGGAGGCTTACCACCCGAATGTGTGTAAGTGTGAAACGGCGAACGTTGTTCGATCGGAGGTTGATCCCAATCCCGCCATGGATATGTACCCAAATCACCAGGGGCCGTAATTGCGACCACTCACTCACCATCTTTTGCCATGGTGCTTGGAAAAGTCTCTGGTTGAGCTCTGGGGGAGACCACGGTTTCACAGTGGTACCGCGGAGCCTTGGCTAGCTATCCAGGGCCTGTAGGAGGTGAGCATGAGCGACGAGGAACACGCATCCCGGAGAGCCGCAGGTTATGCCTCTGCCAGCCACTGAGACGAGAGGACGAGGCCAGGACACTGGTGGGGGTCGCGACCGCGATCCACCACCAAGCTATGATGGGGAGAATCTGGAAACCACATTCCGGAGCTATGAAAAGCAGGTGAGCCTTTGGCAGTTCGAGACGGAGGTGCCGAAGGCCAAGCGAGGTGTGAAGCTGCTTCGCCAATTGAGTGGAGCGGCTGCCAATGCCTTGGACGACATAGAGGTGGGCGACGTAGCTGCTTAGCTTGCGAGGATGGCGTGAAGAATGTGATGAACAAGTTTCGTGAGTACTTCATGCCTCATTTGGAGGTGTCGCTGCCGAGAGCTTTCGAGGCCGCGGTGTACGGGGCTCCAAGGCCCAGCAAGGAGAGCTTTGCGGAGTACACGAAGCGCACGGAGAGAGCTTTTACCCACCTCCAGCAAGGAGGGCGTCGACCTTCCGGACAGTGCGAAGGGCTACATCCTGTACTGCCAGGCCGGACTCACAGACTCTCAGGAGTCAGGAGCAGCGCCTTCTCACTTGGTCTGAGGGCAAATACGGTCGGTCGGAGATTACGATCGCCCTGAGACGCTGGACAAGGTCATCCGAGAGAAGGTAAAGGGTAGCTACATCCTGGAGGAGAGCTTTGTCACGGAGGATCCGGCGGGTGGCACCTTCGACCAGGAGACGGCCCAGTCGTGAAGAGCGCCGGGCGTTCTCTGTGGGACTATACACCACCTACTACCCCATTGCGGACAGCAACTGGACCCGGAACGGTGCTCAATGGACGGAACACCATGGGCTCACGTCGTGGTCCGGCCAGATCGAAGAGGAGCGCATGAAGACCTATGGGAAGGCGGCCGGACGCGGCAGTTGAGCCGGAAGGAAAGACAGTTGGTGGGAAAGGGGGGCTCCAGGAGAAACAGGTTGGAGAGCTCTACTGCCCGCCGAGGATTTCAGAGCCGTTGAAGAAGAAAGGAGCACCCGTGGGCACTAGCTTCGACCTGCAGACCGGCTGGGGCCTTTCCAGAGAAGATCGTCGACGAGAGATGTGGAGAGTTTTGCGAGAAGAGCGGCCAGAGGTCCGACCTCATTGTTTCGCCACCGTGTACGGCCTTCAGCAAGCCATCAACTGGGGCCGCGTGAGCCATGAGAAAAGGGTGCATTAAATGCTGAAGACCGGCTGGGAGCACTTGAACCTGGCCATCAGCGTGATCCGGTGGCAACTTGGTCGTGGAGGAGCTATTATGTTCGAGCGTCCGGACGGGGCAACATCATGGCAAGAACCAGAACTACAAGCCCTGGCTAGTCGCTCGGACGTGAAGACAGTCGTGTGCGACCAATGCATGTTTGACCTGAATGTGGACGGCCGAGGCTTGAACAGGAAGCGCGCCAGGTGGCTCTCCAACGTCCCTGGGGTGCTACAAGCGCTGGACCGCAAGTGTGATCAGGCCTGTAGAGAACGGAAGGCCTCGACTGGCGCAGGTATACCCTGAGAGACTGTGCCAGGTGGTTGCAAAGGCCATCATGAGCTACCTCGAGAAGAGTACGTGACCGCCTACGCCATGGAGGAGCTGGAGGACGAAGAGATTGAAGAGGAGGCCAGTGGAGAAGGACCTGGAGACTATGAGCTCAGCGAGGAAGAGAAGAGGGCGGTGACGCTGTAGTCCACCGGTCAGTGGGGCGCCCCCAGAAGCAGGAGTTCATTCGATTCCTCCGGGCCGCCCGGGTGAGAGGAGAGGTGGCCCAATGGGCCACCAAGCACTTTCGGTGCGACGTGTGTGAGTCCAAAGCACACCCAAAGATACCGCGGCCGACCGCTCTACCTCGGGCTTATCAACCAAGTCGAGTCCTGGGCATGGACCTCTTCTATACCCGCGCCGGGGTGCGGGAAACAAACCACTCCCGTACTGAACATGGTCGACTGGGGCGCCAATTTTCAGATGCGCCAAGTTCTTGAAGGAAAACATCCCACAGAGGTATGGGACGCCTACATGAACACCTGGGCGAGGACTTTTGGGCACCCCGAGGTCACCGGGAGTTCATGGGCAAGTTCATCAACCGGGCAGCGGCTGAAGGCATCGTGGTGCATCAAATCGCATCAAAAGCTCCGTGGCAACAAGGCAAAACTGAACGACACGAAGGTCACTTCAAAGAACTCTTGGACAAGGCCCGGAGTGAAGTGGTGGTGCAAAGCCAGAGGGATCTACAACGCTTGATGGCGGAAGTCGAAACGACCAAGAACCGGTACTCCAACCGGTCTGGCTTCAGATTGGCCAATGGCCCCGACTACCCACTTCAATCATGTCGGACGAGGCCATCGATCCCACGCTGATCACTGATGACACTTGAAACTGCGCCACATGAGACGAGTTGCGCGCAAAGCCTTCTGCGAGCGCAACGCCAAGAACACCTACCAGAGGGCCCTACGGTCCCGACCTAGGACCTGGACCGAGCACAAAGCCGGGGGATAATACGTCTACGTGTTCCGGACTCCAAGACTGAAGAAGAGAAAGCACAGAGCGCCGGCAGAGGAGGCGAGCCTATCCACAAAGGCCCGCTGGGTAGGTCCCGGCGTCGTCATCACTCCAGACGGTGCCAACCTGTGTGTCAATGCTTGGAGAGTTGTGGAAAGTGGCCAGAGAAGAATGTCGCCCGGCTACCACAGATGAGCGCACGGGCGTCGAGGCGGTGGTCAGCGAACGCCAAGATCGAAGAATTCCATCGAGGGTCACACCGCACTGGCTACAAGGACATCGCCCAAGAAGACTGGAAGAGGGCGACGATCGAGCCCAAGAAAGGTCACGGAATGAAGGTGAAGAAGGAAGGAGAGGCGACCCCGAGGATACCCTCGACTACGCGCCGGAATACCTCAATGAGCCAAGTGGCGGAGGCCCAGAAGCAGAAGGGTCCCCGAAGCGAAGAAGTTCGATCGCTGACCCTAGAAGTCCAAAGACTATTTTAGGCACCGCCCAAGTAAAGGAAGTTCCTTTTCGGATCATCTAAAGACCGTTTTAAAAATGGTCTTGGACTCCCAGCATGAACCAGAACAAGAAGAAGTACCTTCATCTGAGGATGGGGCTGAATGTTCAATCCGGCTTTTCCAGGCGCCAGGAGAACATCCAGACCGGGGCATTCGACGGGCTATGAGGGAGTCAGTGGCTCGGGCTAACCGCCTGCCGGAAGATGGACTCAGATGGACCTGAAGGGAAGGCCGTGAGACTCCACCTCCATCACAGAAAAGCGGACTATGAATGCCGGTTCACTTCAGAGCTTCCGTTCCCGGTGCGCCACCTTTTGGAGAAGAGGACTACCCTCCTGGAGATTCAAGGACAAGGGAAGTCATGGAAGACGACTGGGACAAGCCCACATGGAAGATGGCCGAGGGCTGGTGGAGAGGGCGCGCTCATTCTACATCAAGGACAAGGGGGAGACGCTGAACTACCTGGCGGAGAAGAAGGGCCAAAAGAGAGCCCTCAAGACCAAGAAGAAGGGAAACAGTCCGATCTCTCGGAATGGAACAAGGTGACCGGAAGTGGAGCTGTGCAGGAGCTGGATCTTGAGACTTCCAGATAAGTGCGGAAGGAGCTGAGAGAAGCCGGACAAGAAGATCGAATACTGCCAACCAAGATCGCTCGACGCTACAAGCCGGGAGAGCAACCCGGTGAGGCGGCAACCAAAAAGTCGCGGCTGTGCATTCGTGGAGACTTGGACCCAAACATCTTGGACTTGGAGCGCTTCTCACCTACGTTGAACACCGTGAACTTCAACGTGTTGCTCCAGGTGGCAGCCAATGAGAACATGAAGGCGACAGTCGGAGACCTCAAGAATGCCTTCTGCCAAAGCCATCCTTTGGAACGCCCAAAGGGGAAGCTCTACTTCCAACAGCCCAAGGAGGGAGTCATTGGATTAACAGATCGTCCTGATCATCGCTGGATGCTATGGTCTCGTGGACGCACCTCTACATTGGAGAAAGTCGCTCACCGAAGACATTCAGCAGCTAGGCTATGAGATGTCTGCGCTCGACCCATGCATTATGAAGCTGTACGACAAGAACCATAAGAAGCTCCTGGGAGCCATTGCCGTCGAGGTGGACGACCCCTTCACAGTGGGTCACGAAGAACACCGCCAGCAGATGAACAAGCTCCGCCAGAAGTATACGTTCGGCAAGTATGTGCAGCCCCAACAGGAACCAGATGGGTGCGCCTTCAACGGAAGGCGAATCCGCCAAACCAGCAATGGTGGATTCCTCATCGACATGCAGAAGTTCGTGGAAGAAAGATTGCGCCCGGTGATTTTGGACAAGGGGCGAAAGAGCGACCGCAAGGCAGCCGCCAATGAGAAGGAGATCAGCATGGCTCGCGCCACGTGTGGGGCACTCAATTGGCTCAGCCGAGAAGGAAGGCCCGATGCGGCTGGACCCTCTAGCCTTATGGCCTCCAAGCTCACTAAGGTCACCATTGAGGACATCATCCAGTTGAACGAGGCCGTGGCAGAGTTGAAGGAGAAGGCGTCCTTGAGCCTGCAGATTCAGCCTCTGAAGAAAATGAGGATGAGCGTGGTGACAGATGCGTCATTTGCCAACAACGGCTTTCACTCCCAAGGTGGACATCTGGTACTAGCGCATGAGAGAGGCCTTCAAGATGGACTTCAAGCCACGACCAACATCGTGGCATGGCGCAGCGGAAAGCTGCAGAGGGTAGTTAACTCTACCCTGGCGGCGGAAACCCAGAGCTTGTCACGCAGGCTCGCCGAGCTCATGTGGGTGATGGTTCTCGTCCAGGAGACCCAGGACGGGAAGTTCAATGTGAAGGCGTGGCGGCAGCGGGTGGAGGCCGAGCTCATGGTGATGAGTTCTGAGCTCACTGAGGGGGCCTTGAAAGAGTCTCTAGCCGTCCTCTACATTGTTTGTCCAAAGACACTTTGGGCCGCCAAGACCGGAGGACCGCCATAGAAGTCCAGATCGTGCGTCAGGACTTCAAAGAAGTCAACGGGTCAATCCGGTGGGTTCACCATTTACCCATGCCGGCCGATGGGCTCATGAAGGTGCACGGTTCGAACGCAGCTCTGTTCGACCTGGTGGAAACCGGGAAGTTTTGCATTCGGCCCACTTCAACTGAAATGGACGCCGAGCAAACGCTCGGAATGCGGGCCAAAGCAATGCAGAGCTGAGACGGATTCTGGGGACTGTGAAACGGCGAACGTTGTTCGATCGGAGGTTGATCCCAATCCCGCCATGGATATGTACCCAAATCACCAGGGGCCGTAATTGCGACCACTCACTCACCATCTTTTGCCATGGTGCTTGGAAAAGTCTCTGGTTGAGCTCTGGGGGAGACCACGGTTTCACAGTAAGATAGATAGAAGGTCTCTGTCTCTGTCTCTCTCTCTCTCTCTCTGTGTCTGTGTGTCTGTGTGTCTGTGTGTCTCTCTCTCTCAGACTGTGGGCCTATGTTCCCACATCTGGTGGCTATCTTGGCCGATCTAGGGGCTATGTTTCCCATATCCGGGACCTATGTAGGGTCATCTTGCGGCTATGTGTGCCATTTCTGGGGCATCTTGAGGGCCTCTGTCAGGTCATCTTGGAGCACATTTTCCGCCGTGGATGTTGGCGCATGCCCGACACCCACGAAATGTCGATTATGCCTGTCCGCGCGGCGGGCACTACCGACACCACCCCTAAAAAACAGTGTTTTTGCATGTCGTTGCCCTTTCGCCGCACCACGACAATTTTTGATCTACCACCCCCACAAAACGTAAAGCACAGTGTTTTTTGTACCTCACACACACGAAGCACTGTAAAATACTGTAAATTACATGGTGGGAGGTGGGTCGGCGGCAGGCCGGGCGCAACACGGGCGGCCCTGGTCAACCGCTAGCTGGGACTGTCGTTCATGTGGCTGCTGGTGTGTCTGCTGTAGCTGTCTCCGGACCGTTTTCTTCTCTCTCTCGATGCTCTTCAAGACTCCCTCTTGCCACTTCATCTTCTTCTGGAGGCTTTTGTTCTGTGGACTCCTCCGGCTCCTGCATGTCATTTTGTTCACCCGATGCGTCAGCAAAAGGTGGGTCCCCCAGGAGGTCCAAAAAACGAACTGGGCCACGCACCGGTTGGAGAGCCCGGCGCACAGTGGCCTGGACATCAGTTTGAGGAAATTGTTCCAAACGAGACTGCCGTTCGCGAGGTGCTTCATGGCGAAGACGTTCAGGAGAAACGCGAACGAGTGCCGATCCATGGGCCAACCAGTAAACTGAAGGGACCGGCAAGGAATCAGTACCATCACGTGGAGTCATAGAGCAAACAATCGCCGGACCCCGCCATCGACTCACCTCCAGCTTGCTATCGGAGCTCCTCCAATATAAACCCAGTTTCCTGGATAGTAGGTCTCCAACTCACCTCGACTCTTGCTGAGCAGGGCTTTGCGAAGGGTGTGGCCGTGATTCGCTGCGTAGAAGGATCGTGCAGCGTTAAGCCTCAGGGAGACGAGAGTTTGGTGATCCTTGGATGGATCAGCTTGTATGGATGAAGGCTCATCCATCAATCCTTTGTCCATAACGGTCTTGCCGAACACGATCTGAGCTGGAGCTGTGCCATGTACTGAGCGCAGTTGATTCCGCAATGAGCATGCCACAGGGATGGCAGTCTCCAACTGGATTTGAAGACGTCGGACTGCATGTAGACGCTCCACCGTCCCCATTCGATGATGGGCTTCCTTTGATCCCTCTGTCATCCATGTATTGAAGGAACTGCTTGCTCATATGGGCACCAGAAGCATCAGTCCTGATTCGTGATGGGCAACCAAAAGCATGGATCCATTGATCCAAAATAGCCAGCTCCTCTTTCTCTGTCTCGGCGGCCACGACTGCATTCATCTCGTAGCGAGAGTAGATGTCGATGATTGACAACACCCTTCTCTTCTCTTCATTCCACTTGATGTGAAACACGTCCATCTCCAGAAGCTCATTGAAGCATTTGGCCTGTGGCAGAGAGGATGGCTTTGCCGTCTTCTTGTTGGTGAAGTTCTGGCAGGTCTCACACTTGTAGTCTTTAGCGCACTTCACCAACTCTTCTCCCAAATTGGCTTCTCGCACCGCAATCACCAAGCGGTCGCGACCAGGATGGCCAAGCTGTCGGTGAAGCTTTCTTGGAATGAGTTTCTGGTTTCTCAGAGTTCACCTTCTGGGTCTTGTCGATCTCCCCCGTCACGAAGGCTGTCGTAGCCATGATCTTGGCGATTTCCTTCTTTCTCCAAGATTCATCCATACTCTCGTAGATTGCCCTTGCTGCCCTTTTCCACAAAGCCTTCTTCGTAGTTCTGCATGCTTCGAAGCTGCTTCGTCCTTCCTTCCATTCTCACATGTGCTTCCTGGCATTCAGAAGGAAGATGCATAGCCACCATCCACTCGTAGTCCAGTTCGGCGTCGGTCACAGATGGCCTCATAGTATCCCTTCATGGACTTCATCGTGGTTGTTCTCCAAGAATCAGCTCCATGGGCATGTTCACAGGCATAGTTGTTGCCATCTTCTTTGGTCACATCGGCCGTCTCCTTCACGAGGGTCAGATGGGACTCTTCTTCATCGGACCTTTCTGCTTGCAATCGCTCTCTTTGAGCATTTGTTCGTAGATTCAATCTTTGCATTGCGGACCATTTTCTGCAGGGAGGTGCTAACCGCACAAAGTCAGGGCTGACTTCTCTCAACAGCTCAATGAACTCCTGTCGAACTGCCTTGTCGTTGAAGTCCCACTCGGGCAAGGAGAATCCAGAGACTTCAACATCCTCGTAGTGATTGGCGAGGTAGACTGGAGGTTCCCTTCGTCCACGTAGACCTCGAAGAACTTCAGTTTTCTCTTCTCTCGCAAGCGGCGAACCGTCTTCTCCGCAATGCTCTCTACCTCGAACACCTCTTGGCAGTTTGTGGTCGCTATTGCCTCGAATTCCATGCATGGCTCAATGTCGCAAACATCAAGGGCTCCTCCATCCATCAACTCCGTTCCATCCGGAGCTCCCAACTTTCTCTCCAGCTCTTCGAACTGGTAGTAGGCCTCTTCCTGGACTTGCTTCCTGGAACACATCATCAGGTCCAGCAAGAAGTGTCCTCTTGCATTGCGCCCTGGCTTGAACCATGGGGAGTTGCCGATCTTCATCATACCATTCTTGGAATCGTGGACAACTCCCCACTCCTCCAACGTAGGGCGTGCCAAAAGAAATGGCGTTGAGCCGGGCACCACAGATGCCGTGATTTCCAGAAGCTGTCCATGTACTGCTGCTGTGAACGTCACCTCCTATAGGTAGACATCAAAGTCTCTGCACCACCGAACTTGAACTGGCGTTGGACATTGTTGGATACCACGGGCTTCAACTTGTTGGCGTCATACTTCTCCAACCACAGGTGCCAGTTGTTCTCACCCACGATGGTCCGTGTAGCACCACTGTCCACAATGGCCTTGCCGACCTCAGTGGCAGCAAAGAAGCACTGCTCCATGGTGGTGTCCATCCACTCAAACTCCACCTTCTCATCGTTCACAGCCTCTTCCACCATCGTCACCTCTTCAGGGACTTCCTTCACTCCTTGGGTCTGGGGCTTCTGTATCTTTTGAACCGAGGACCATGTTGTTGTGTTGATCCAGAGAATGTCGACTTCTCACTGGTTGCCGTCGTCGAAGTCGATGACATAGGTCCTTAGGCCAGACGTTGGGCGCCTGTTGAAAGGTGTGCGTCGAAGAAATCCACCACCTTTCCCTTTTCCTTTGCCTTTTCCTTTGGAGCTTCCATTCTTGCCCTTTCCTTTGCTCTTTCCATCACCTTTGAAGCTCCTATAGGCTCCCTTCTCCGCCTCCGGACCAATTGCAACCACTGGGTAGAAGCCTCTGGCCAACGCAAGCTCCTTCATGCGTTTCCGACTCTCAACATAGGAAACATAGGCTTGTCCGCATGCTCCATAGCCTCAGTTCCTCGGAGACGTCATCATCGTTGTCATAGTCCCCAACCTCGAAGGCCTTGTCCTCATCCAACCAGTCGTCAACCCAATCCTCGGCCTCCTCGTACCACACTTCATCCTCGTAGTAGGTCTCCTCCTTGACATTGGAGGCAGACTGTCGACTGAGGTCCCGTGAGCTTGGCTTGTGGTCTCCACCAAACATGCGGATCAGGGCCTTGCTCACCTTGTCATACTCCAAGTCTCCTACACATGGCCTTTATCTGCACATGCGTCCAAGGGACACCCGCTCGGGTCAATAGGTGCCACCCAGAGAGAAGCGTAGGGTTCACCTCCTTCATGCGCTTTAGCAGGGTCTTGTGGCGGATGAGGTATGCTTGAAGTTCCTCACCTTTGTTCCTCTTGAATTCACTGAAGAATTGATCACACCTCGATGGGACTTCGATGAGGTCTTCGTACTGATAGAGCTCGTCGAGCAAACGGAACACCAACTGGAAGGATGCCGTTGATCTCTCCACTTCATCGAAACTCAACTGCTCCGTTGCGTCCCATGCCACATCTCGCAACTTGCTGATCACCAGGAAGGCTCCCTCAATGGAAGTCTCACGACCACGACGATCACATTGTCGTTGAAATAGTTCCAACCTTATCCTGAAGCTGCGGTAGGTCTTCTGAGAAAGACCTTCTGAAGAGGGACATGCCTTAGCTAATCCCGAGTCCAACCCACTGCGTTGTGGGGAGTATGGAAGTTGAAGGGCTCCATCGCCGTCCCGTTCAACATTTGCAAATAGGCCACCTCCAGTCGTAGTGGGTGCTGCTGCACCAGGGGCTGATGTCCTGGCCCGGTGGACCTGTGTCCGTCTGGGACTCCCCCGCTCTGCCCCTGACATAGGGTGAAGATCAAATTCTCAACCGTCAGGAGGAAAACGAAGGCGATCTCAGGGAAGTGGGTCACCGAGGACAAACTCAGCCTGGAGCGTGATGGGCTCCGCTACCAATCTCAATGTCGTAGATCAAGG